AGGGGGGTTGTGAAGGTCCCCCCCCCCCGCGGTGAAGTCATCCACGAACGTCTGGAGGTTGTTTGAGTCTGGGGGGGGGGTTGCCTTCGCCCGCGCGGGTGTGTGTGTAAGAATCTGGAAACTTCAGAAGGCCTCGGGATGAAGAGGCCGAGTGCAAGAATGTCAAACCCAGATGTGCAATGTGAGACCTTCACATTGCACTTGCACGCCTTCACACGTCGATCGTCACGCCAAGACAAATGCCTCGATTCATGAAGCGATGGGGGGGGGGTTGCCTTCGCCCGCGCGGGTGTGTGTGTAAGAATCTGGAAACTTCAGAAGGCCTCGGGATGAAGAGGCCGAGTGCAAGAATGTCAAACCCAGATGTGCAATGTGAGACCTTCACATTGCACTTGCACGCCTTCACACGTCGATCGTCACGCCAAGACAAATGCCTCGATTCATGAAGCGAATGCACATGAGGACGAATCAGCCGTTAGCGGGCACGCTCGTCCTCCCTCGCTCCCAAGATGAGATGACATCGACTTCCTGGCTGCGTTATCAGCAGGCCAAGCGCGGCGCTATCTTTAGCGGCGTGACTTCATCGCGTTCGGTTCGGACCGAGTGACCGTTCTCGCCACCTTCGCTCACAGGCACGTGCGAGTTGAAAGCATCTTGCTGGCTTGCTGACTATCGATCAAGCTATGTAGTTAGTCACCGTTCAAGGCGGCCATCTTGATGTAACCATCAAGCCAACGAAACATAACACCTCGCACTCCACTTGCTGTTTTGCCGGCCAACGATCAGCTCATAAGAATTCGAGGTCGCTAAATAATTTTTTGTTTTTTGCTTTGCTGGTGCTGGCTATTAGTTGCGCAGATCTTGCCGTGTGCGTCACCGCAGGAAGGAATCCACGCACACATGTGCCCAATCTAACAAACGTGTTGAAACAGCTCGCGTAGGCAGTGTTGACATACCGGGTAGCGCCTGCCATTTCGCCTCGTGCTAATGATGCTAAACGCTCGTGTGGAAAGTGGCCAGCTGTCGTATAAAAGCAGTCCAGATAGGAAGAGGACAAACAAAAACACGCTGACTCGTCGCTTTTATCTTGACATGAACTCTGTGTTCGTGTCATCACAAATAGGTGGCGGTCCCCGGCCGGGGCTAAAGTGCACACGTGCAACCGTATCAGTGCGCAAGCAAGGGGAGAGAAGGAAGACCGTTCCAAAGCCATCTCCAATTGTCACAACCATTTCTCTTTTTTTTTCAGCGGGACAAGGGAATTACAAAGGTTTGAAAGTGGATTGTTTTGAAATGGACGCATTTCTTTCTTTCCTTTCTTGCCTTCCCTCACATGTTGCATCACCAAAGCGTTGCGCTCTTTCCGCCCTCACGGGCCTCCAAACGTTGAAACGTCTTGATGGAAGACTTGAGGGCGGCATTTCTTCCCAGCCTTCCCCCCGGGGGAGCCTCGATTATCTCTGCAGGCATGCATGGGCCCTCACAGCTGGCGGGGGGGAGGGGCGGGGGTTATTGCGGCAGCTTAATTGCACCTTTTTTCCTCTCGCTGGGTTTTTTTTTTTTTTTTGAGGCCTTGAGAAAAGTCAGCTGCAAATGTTGTCAATCACGCGACTGTCATGAACAGCATTTGTTTTGTTTTTTTTTTCAAAAGGCATTTTATGATTGTTTGTGTCCTCTGAGGTTAAATCGTTTCTCATGAGGACTAAAAAGCCTCTTTCTTGGCACTCCTTCAGAATGTACTTGACAGATTCCTAAGTCGGAGTTTTCCCGTTCCGCCGAGGAGAGGCGAGTGTCGGGTTACAGTCGGTCCGAAAACGACACGCCTGTGTGAGCCGCCAGGACAAAAGGGGTTCTGTTTGTGTGTGTGTGTTTGTGTGTGGTGGGCCACGGCCCTCCATTGCACACACATGCAGAAAAATGACAGGGAGCGCGTGTGTGTGTGTGTGTGCGCGCGCGCGTGTCTATTTGTGTGTTTTTGCGGTTCTGTCTTCAAACTTGCGGAGAACGAGGCCAATCCCATTTCCTGTTATTATACAAAAAAGTTATTTTGGCATTGTTTAAGCCACAAAGTTACATACCTTCCACGCGTGCCGTCTTCCCGAGCGAGAGCGCGGGGGGTGTCCGGCTGGGGTCCTCGAGGGCAGCTCATCAGCGAGCTCCGCAGGAGCCCGATGACGATCCCGATCATTGGAAAAAGGAGTGACGCAACAGGGAGAGATTGCGAAACATGCCTTTTGAGACTTTTGAAACGAAAGATGATGCTGTACGCTCGGTTACCATGGCAACACACGCCTACACGCACACACACAGTGGATGAGTGCGTAAATATTTGTTTCCTCATTTCAACAAAATCCCGCAAGACTGTTCACATCCCAGCCGGCGGGCCAAATATGGCGGCACACCAAGAGCCACAACCCAAAAGCAAGTCGAAGCGGGCGCACGTGCCCCCCTGGTGACGGTGCAATTTTCGTCCTCCTTGCAGCACTTCTCGGAGCTTCTGGATGACCTCTCCCACGACGCTCTGCTGGGACAGCTGCTGAGCGACCCCTTCCTGTCGGGGGTGCAAGGCGGCGCCAGAGGCTTGGGGGGCGACGACGAGGAAGGCGAAGACGGCGGCGACCTGTGCCCGTCCTCGTCACCGCCGCCGCACATCGCCGCCGAGCACAGCTACTCGCTCTGCGGCGACAGTCGGCCGCAGTCGCCGCTTTCGCACCTCACCGGGGAGCGCGGCAGCGACGCAGGTGAACAAAGGCAGAATTCGCTTCCTGACGGATCGATGAAGGGGCGTCGCCCGATACTCGTCTGTGCGGAGTAGCGACGTCATTCCCGGTCAATGTTTTTGCCGCAGAATCCGAAGGCGACTCATCGGAGTGGCCCATGGAGCAGGACGACGGAATGGAGGGTCTCCTGTGCGACGCGCCGTCCCTCCTGCCCGCCCTGGCCCTCGCCCTGGGGAACGCCGAGGACCCCCATGTTGCCGAGGACCGCGCCGCCGCCGGCCGCAACCACGACAAAAGCGTCAAGGTCAAAGAGGAGAAGGTCTTCCCCCAGATTAAACTGGAACCGCACGAAGTGGATCAGTTCCTGAATCTGTCTCCCAAAGGTTCGAGCCTTCCATCTCCTTGACTTGGGGCAGTTGTGCCTTGAGATACGCGTTTGAGTCCTTCCTTTTTCACACTTGCTCTTCCCGTGTCAGGTCTCGAGGCACTGCAGATGCCCCCCACCCCGCCCAGCTCGCACGGCAGCGACTCGGAGGGCAGCCAGAGCCCCGTGCACGCCCCGCCAGGCCTGTCCCGCCCCACCTCGCCCAGCAGCCCCGCGCCGGCGCAGCCCGCTCTCAAGGCGTCGCCCCGCGGGAGCTCTTCCTCCTCGCTGTCCAACTCGCCTCTGCTCACCGCCGCCCACGTGAGGAGCAGACATCGGCGCACAAAGTCCACCCCGATCGAGCGCTCGGTCTTCATCTGGCCCCGCGTGTGCGTATGTGTAGAAACTTCAGGGCTCGGGACCGCTGATGCTGACGGAGGAAGAGCGCCGCACGCTGGTGGCCGAAGGCTACCCGGTGCCCACCAAGCTGCCGCTCACAAAAGCTGAGGAGAAAGCGCTCAAGAAGATCCGCAGGAAAATCAAAAATAAGGTGCGCCGCGTGCAAAAATCTTGAGGTGACTCGCGGTCGCGGGCCTTGAAAGTCCAAAGCCGACGTTTTGTTTTTGTCTTTTTTCCTTCCCCGTCAGATTTCCGCTCAAGAGAGTCGCAGGAAGAAGAAGGAGTACATGGACACCTTGGAGAAGAAGTGAGTCTGAATTTTCGATTGACCACATGCAGGTGCGTCTCAGCCCCAAAAGTCAATCATTTCAGGAGTTCGGTTGAAAAATAAAACCCAGCAATTTTCTACACGACGGAATTTTGTGCAAAGTGCACAAACGAAGCCTGGAGCGCACATTTGAAGCCAGAACAGACACGCATGCCCCACCGTCCTGCCCCTGTGTTGAAAATAAGCAACCAAAGAATTTCGCCTTAGCCCCTCAATTTTCTTGAGCCAACATAACTTTATTGATTTCATTTTAGAGAATTAAAAGTAAAATAAAGATAAAATTCAGTTGTGTATGACGACTGAGCTGCAGTTCTACCGCTGTCCACAGGGTGGAGACATGCTCCAACGAAAACAACGACCTGAGGAGGAAAGTGGACACGCTGGAGTGCACGAACAAGTAAGAGCACACCGAAGTGCAATCATTCTTTGAATATGAATTGGTTTTTGAATTCGACTTTTCAATCCATTAAAAAAAAAAAAAAAAAACGACGTAGGTCTCTGCTGCAGCAGCTGCAGGCGCTGCAGGCTTTGCTGTCCGGAAAAGTGTCCAAGTCGTGCCGTGTGGTGGGCACGCAGACGTCATCCTGCCTCATGGTAACAGCGCGCTTGTCTCCATCCCGTGCGGATGTGCTAACTTGCACTCACCGGCATGTGCGTACCTCTTTGTCGTCCTCTCAGGTGGTGGTGTTGTGTTTCGCTCTCTTTTTGGGAAGTTTCTACCCAGCCGGCCTGGCCCCCAACCCCGGCACCGCCGCCGGCGGCCGGGCCTCCGAGCAACTGGCGGTCAAAGAGTCGTACGCCGCCACGGGTATGCGGACTCGGCGAGGTCACCAGCCGCCCCCGCGAGGTCATTTCTCCACATTTCACGCTTGTCGTTTGCGTGCGTTCAAACAGTCAAGTCCAGAAGTCTGCTGTCCACCTTTGAGGACGAGCCGCCGCACCTGCTGGGCCTCGGCGGCGAGTACCCCGACCGTTGGGAGGACGCGGACGCCGCCGTGGTCATGGCGGCGTGGCGGCGTTCGGGCGAGCAGCAAAAAAGCACAGCCGCCGCCACGGCGGCGGCGGAGGAGACCAGCCAGGCGGAGACGCACCCGCCTTTCCGTAGTCAAAGCAACAAAACCAGCACGTCAAATGGCATCCACAGGTAAAAGTGAAGCAGCCCCAAAGGCTTGGCAGGAATCTTGTTTCAGATCACTGCGATGTGACCTCGATGAAAATCAGTCATTTGACGGACCTTTTGTTCAAATTATTCATCCATGACATTGTTTAAACTAGGGGTGTCTAAACTTGGACTTCAGGGGCCTCAATGGCCTCAGGGGCCGCTGTCCTGCAGCGTTTAGCTGTGCCCCTTGCTGCAGCGCGCCGGATTCAAATGATCAAGATCGTTTTCAGGCTTCTTCGGATGAGCTGATCATTTCGAATGGTGTGTGCAGGCCTCTGGAGCAGAGGGCGAAAAGCATCGCCTTGGAGCGAAGCGTCAACGAGACCTCCTGAGAGTCGACCCCCCCACCCCCCGAAACCTTCCCAGTTTCCGTGTCCTTGAACAAAGCTCCTGACTGCCACTGCTGAGTCGGCTCCTGTCCGACAACTCCTGTCCAAAGTAAATGTGCACTGAAGAGTTGTGTGAGAGTTGTTTTGAGTTCATCAGCATGCTCATCCTGGCAAAATCCCTTGCCGGGATGAATCCTGAAGCGTCTGTGGACAAAAGAGGCGAGGACACCCCCCCCCCCCCCCCCCCCCCCCCCTCAATTTTTTTCGTTTTTTTTTTTTTTTTTTTTTGTTCCCCCTCCAAAGATTATTGCTCTCTTTTAATATTTGATGTTTTTATTCCATCCCAATGCCGTTCGTGTACATCCTTTTTTTTTGTCTATTTTTTTTTTTCTCGGTTAAACGTTTGCATATTGTTTGTATCATTTCCTAATGTGCCTTATTGCATTCCCTGCGCTAGTTTGGTGAATCAGAAATGCAGAATATTTGTAAATGTTGACAGAGTACCGCAAAGCCAGAAAAGGGATGCAGGATGTTTATAGTTAGCATTTTTTTTAGCTTAGCACGATTAGGACAGGAAGCAGAAAATGGACCCCCCTCCCCTTCCACCACCCCTACCTTGTTGAATTACCCAATCAAAGAATTTGATACCTTCAAGCTCCGACAAGGTGCTTCTCTCTTCTCCTTGAAAGCGCACGAAAGACAAACAAAATATTTCCATTATACTTCAGGACGCCTTGCACAACGGTGCTTTGTTTTCTTCTTTTTGCCTTACAGACTTTCACGCGCAATCTTTCAGCATTTGCCAAATAACCCCCCCCCCCCACCCGCACACCCCCCCAAAATCTTTTTTAGTATCTATTTTTGTAAATATGACTTGTAAATAAGTGATATCCCTCATCCTCACCGTTTTGGTCACGGCCAATCACCAGTTTAACCGGTTTTAAGGACTTCATTACAACCTTAAAGATGTCAAATATTGATGTCAAGACAGATTGACGGGAAAACGATGAACTCGTCCTGACTGAAAGGAGCAGCCAGCGGACAGCCTTCTCCCCCATATGTATATTTTTCTGTCTTTTTTTTTCGCTTGCAAAATAAAGTATTTTCCTGAGTAAAAGCATCATTGGGCGTCTTTTGATGTGTTTTTTTTTTTTTTTTTTTTTGCTGCAAAGGGAAATGGGCTTTGGGGGTGGAATTTTCAAAAACAATTGATGCCTGGAAATGGACGCTTCAATACAAGTACAGGACAAAATGGGAGACTTTCAACATGTGTTCGAGCACGGCTTTCTTGGACTTTTTTTGTGGCTAGACAAGTATACCAGATGTCACTTTACAGGTGGAAACTAGCTTGAAGGGGGCTGAATGTTCAACAACTGGGAGGTGTTTGAATGATCATTCATCTCTTGCTCCTTTTTTGGACAACTTTACGGCTCAAAATTGAAGAAAGGGGCTCATCATGCCGAGCTTCGTTGAAATCCCACAAGTGATGCTCGGTCACGCACGATGACGTCACGGTCCCGCTGGAGTCCTTGACCCACCATATGTGTGCTCATTTCGAGCGCGTGTGTCACCTCCTGCCCTACTTCATGACTGCTGCTGAGGCTGCAGAAATGATCATGAGCGGGGATATCCCACAATGCCATGCTGCGTGGACTCTGCATGCATGCATGCATGCATGCATGCATATGGATGCATGGATGGATGCAGAGGTTTGCGTCGTGTTACCCTCTCTGCATCTCGCTCTTGAGCAGTTTTCAAACCACTCACAATTCCAACAGCGTCAACAAGGACACTTCCTGTGATAGCCTTCACAACAAAGGCCTAGGCATTTCTTTTCATCTTGACAGCTCAGTGGCGCTCACATTTTTTCTTCCACCGAAGGATGCAAGGGCTGTTTTTTGACATCCTTCTCCCTTTAACTAATAGTAAAGGCAGGCCATATGCAAGGAACTATGTTGAAACGAGTCAAGGAATTTCATTGAGACAAGTGTTGCTATCCTGCCATCGCGTGGATCCAAGGAACTATGCTTAGAGTGAAGTCTCATTTCATCAAATGTCGTGTGGTTCGTTGCCGTATTGCGGTGTTTGTGTATACAGGAACTGTGTTGATGTTTAAGGAATTTCCTGAAGACAAAAGTAGTGCTTTCAGTACCCTTCGACTTTGCTTGATGCGGCCGTAAAGCGTTCGCAGCGGCCGCGTCGTCTTATTTTGAAGGAGGGACTCGATGTTTCCGGCAGAGTGACGTCACATGACAGCTGCCGTTCTGTCGAGTCGCTGTTCGCCTGCCAGGCCAGCCAGCTCGCCTCGGGCTCCGGGAGAGGAGCGTCGCTTCCCGGCCGCACGCTGCACAACCTCCGCTCCGGAAGCCTCCTCCGGCGTCAGCCCGTTGTCGTCGCCGGCGTCCGCGGGTGAGCCAGCCCTGGCGGCGGCGGTGGCGGTGGCGGCGGGTCCAGTGCGAGGACCGATCGCCATGGACCCCCAAGCCGCGACGGAGGCTGCGGCCCCGGCCCCGGCGGCTCCGGCGGCCGCCCTGGACGGGCGGCTCGCCTCGCTCGGAGCCGACGGCGGCGAGTCCGAATCTGGCGCCGGCTCGGAGGACACCTCGGCGGGATGCTGCAGCGACACGTTCAGCAGCCTGCCCGACATCGAGCAAGAGAGCTTGGAGGACAAGCTGAGGGGGCTGGCGTTTCGGAAACAGACGTCCTATCGGTAAGTTGACGTGTTGCGGGCATTGATTGACTGATTGCTCTATTCGGATGTGGAATTACAGCCTTGCTTCCCAACCTTTATTGAGCCCTTGCATGCATATGCATGCATGCATGTATTTTCCCGTGGCCGTCGCAAAAACTTACAAAACGAACACAAGCACAACTGTGTGTGATGTTTGTGGCTGTCACTATAGGTCACTGGCGTTGATAGGACTGAATGACCTCTCACGTTTCTCAAAAATCCTTGTGTGTGTGTGTGTGTGTGTGTGTGTGTGTGTGTGTGTGTGTGTGTGTGTGTGTGTGAGAATGTCAGCCACAGCCTGGCACCCTGGTGTGACTGGCAGCTGCTGGTGATAGTGAAAACCACACACACAAACACACACTCATTAGTTGATGTTGTCAGATGTCACCGTCAGGAATTTGCGGAATGTCTCAATCAGATCCGCCGGGAGGCCAATCAATCATTTGGCACTCCATCGTGCCGCACTTTGGGGACAGAAGTAACTTTATCGGGCCTTGGACTTGGTCCGTGATGCCGATGGAGGCGATGTTACGTTTAGCTCCGTTCGGATGGAGAAAACGCGCGCTGGCGTTGCCTGTTGCTCGTGTCCTGTAAAATTGCATCGCAGCTCATTGGATGGCGATTCAGGGTCGTGCTTTTTGGTTTCACCGTGTCTCGTGTGCTTCAGCATTTGGTCTTTTCTCCGCAACGTCGTTTCTAGGTTTGATGAAAAAGAATTCGGGACGAGTTTGGAAATTGCCGACGCGGTGGCGGAAAATGGCCGCTTCCAACCAACATGGCCAGCTTCCCGTGTCTTTTCAGCTCTGGCTTCTCAAGACCTTGCGTCGGGCCTACTCGCGATGGATGCGTTTTACCAAACGTGGCGTTGCCAAGGGAAGACGGGCTTCCGGGGGGCCGAATTTTCAAAAGCAGTTCCCTGAAAATGAGCCTTCAAATGGCTTCTTCAGAGCAAAATGGCAGACTTGCTGTCTAATTGTGGGCGTGGCTTCTCAAGACTTTTTGCGGCCGAATTTCATCCTGCTCCGTCAAGCTGGCTATGGAGGAAGGGCCCCGCGTATTCGGCAGTGTATCACTCGGGGCCTTGCCAGGCCGCGCCGTTGTCGCGCTAAGGCAAAGCGTTCTGTGTTTTGCTCTGCTCTCCTCCGAGGCGGCCATGCGGAGGGAATGCCGTTCGTCGGTCATCGGCGGCGGGGCAGAAGAAGGTCCTTTCAAGGGTCCCTGGCCAAATGTGGACATGCGGAGGAGGAGGTTGGGAACCGAAGCGGTCCGGCACCAAACGCGCAAGGAGGGAGGGGCTTTGACTTCAGCCAAAGTTGATGGTGGCACGCGTTGCATATCTGCCAGACGTTCGTCACGCTCGTGTGTGTGTGTGTGTGTGTGTGTGTGTGTGTGCGTGTGCGCGTGTCCTTCCAGAATAATCTCCTCCTTTCTTGTGTGTGTGTGTGTGTGTGTGTGTGTGTCCTTCCAGAATAATCTCCTCCTTTCATCTATTCTTAGACTTGACAGCCCACCCCAGCCTCCACAAAGATGATTTCTTTCTTTCTTTCTCTCTTTCCGTGGGTGTGTGAGAGTGATAGCGAATGAGTCAGCAAGGCACTTGGTGTGTAAAACATTCCTCCAATTAGCTGCTCCGTCACTAAGTGCGCTTCCTGTCTGTGTCCGGGGGGCCGTTGAGAGCACAGCGACGCCGTAATTGGCCCCGGGGGGAGAATATGCACGTGTTGTCCGGCCGTTATTGCATTTCGACCTCCAGGAATCCAAGTTGTTCGTTTCCGTCGCCGCACGCATGCTCTCAAGAAGTGACGGACGCACGCGTCTTCAACTGCAGAAAAATCCAACGAAATGAAAACGGAACGGGAAAACATCTTGTTGAAGGGGCCTGCATTTCTGCGCGCATGTCTTTCTTCAATTCTTTGGGAGCATGCATGCTCTGGCTTATTTTGCCCATAATTCACTGAGCTCGGGCCTTAAGGGGGATGGGCTGACGGGCGGGCGGGGGATGGGGGGGGGGCACACTTTATTAGTCGTCTGGCTGTAAGAGGCTTTTCCCGCTTTGGATGGGGAGCTAAAAAAAGAAACAGGAAAAAAGAGGACCGAACAAAAATGAGAAGTTCCTACGATGGCATCACTCGAAAACATTTGCAATGATTTCTCCATCTTGCGCAACGGCCACCGGGGAGTCTGCAGCAACCCCTGAACACATTGCAACTCACCACAAGAGCACACCCACTCGAAGTCGTCGTCCGAGTGACTTTTCTCTGTCCGGCAGTCAACAAATTGCAGGGTGTCTGGCCTCGCGCCTTGAGGTACTCCCTCCCACCTTGGTTCCCTGGCGTCCTTCCAACAGGCCCATCTGTCTGCTCCGCACTGAACCCGCTGAGGTGATGCCGACTCTATCGCCGAGACTCTCCCTCTCTGACAAAGCTTGTCAAGAAGAAAGCACAGCCGTGCTTTCTTCTTGGCCAAGTACGGCGGAAGGTTGAAAATCCTTCTCGTTTTCCAATTGTTGAATACTGGTGCTTGTATGTATTATATGTTGTCGCAACATTTGATTGACTGTGCAACGCGGCGTGCTACCGGCATCCTGTCAATTCGGCCGGGTTGTTCACGACGGCCTCCTCGGTGCTGTTTCACATTTCCGCCATGCCCGCGACACCCAAAAGTCGTGCCGGCAGGATTACGGATCATCTCTCAGCACTCAGACAGATGAATTTCACACGCACACATGCACTCACGCGTCGAACCTCGCATGTTGAACCACGCGGCGCGAGTACACTGTGACATTCTGCTTTTACTGTGTCGGCCTTTGTAGTGGATCGTTTCATCCTCCGCTTCATTTTGGATCAAAGACGCACAACCTGGCAGGCCTGCGCTCCAGCGATACGCTCTAATTAGCGAGACGGCATCTTGATCCCGCGACGTGCATGCGTGCGTGTGTCACTAGCCAGTGCTGAATTCGATCAGGTAGAAGAGGCGCCAACGCACCTCTGCAGCGCGAATCGTAATGCCGCCATTCGGCGCTCACCATGAGACTTCTGAGGATGATTTGGATGCGTTGGTTTCATTTCTCGCCCCCCCCCCACCCCCCTCCCCGCTCTGTGTGTTTTACTCCTGTTTCTCTTGATACCTCATGTGCTTCTTGTGGTGCTGTGCATCTATTCTCAGCAGGAGAGGTCAGAGATGCGCGCGCGCGGCGTGCCGATGCGCCATGCAGCCTCCCACGCGCGCTCGAGAGGGAGGCCGAAGGACCATCATCAATTTTCTGGCTGCGTCTCATGACTTGCATAGATTCGGATTCCTCTTTGTTTCGCCGAGAACGCAAAAGGCATTGCCGCGTTATTATTGGCGATAGCGGAATTGTAAGGGGGGAAAAAAAACAAGAAGTCGCAGCGCTTCCTGCGCGTCACAGCAGCGCGCGTCTCTGAGTGGGAGTCTTTGTGTCACTTCTTGGCAGGAAAAAAAAAAAAAAAAAAAAAAAAAAATGTCTTGCGTTATCATCTCTTATGAATTTGACCCTCGCTCGAGGCGGTGTGCAAAAGGGGGGGGTTGGAGGTGTGGGAGGATGGAGGGATGACAGAGAGAGTGTTGAAGGACGAACCAGGAAGAGAGTGCAGAAGAGGAGGAGAAGGAGGCGGATGAAGAAGAGGGATGAGTAGGAGGGAGGAGCAGCAAAGGAGGGGGGTGGGGGGGGGTGAGTGGGTAGAAGTGGATGAGGAGCAATGGCGGATGGAAGAAGAAGAAACAAAGGAAGCGCCTGCACGGGCGTTCCCTCCTCTTCCTTTCCTCGCTCCCTCCATCCTTCCCCGAACAGAGAAAATGTCGGGCAGCGGGGAAGCCGCAGCTGAGCTCCGCAAAACGGACGTCGCGTGGTGAGAAAGAGCGAGATCGCCGCTTAGCCATGGAGGCGGCGCGCGCGAAGGGCGTGTGCCGCGTGCCAACGTGGACCCCGCCTGCGACGGCCTCGTTAGGAATTCCGCACGCGCCTTCCGATGTCACGTCTCGGCGAAGCCAACGGCGGCCGCGATTGGCCGCGCGCCAAAGCGCGAAGGGAGCGGACGCTCAATTGCGTAGGCGGACCGGCCACACGGACTCTTGACCTGCCGTTCAGTGGAATGCGGTGCATGGCCGCCATTTTTCTGATTCAACAGCAACACATCCCAAATCATGTGGCTGCTCGTTCTGTTAGCCCGTCTGTGGCGGTTGGCGTGAAGCGACGCGGCCTTTGTGCAGGCCGAGCTCTGCGGTTCTGATGCCCGCCTTCAGGTGGGAATGGGAGGGGCCCGCTTTGGCCCTCCGTCATGTGATCGCATGTGAAATCGTTGCCGGTTGCCGAGAGCGGCGGCCCCAGAGAAGCGCTTCGAAAGAGAGGGAGAGGGAGCTCGCAAAGGAAAGAGTCCCACTTCCTGAGCGCAGGAAAAACACGACCAGCCACCGAGTTTCCGCTTTTGGGTTTGCCGCCGGGCTACGGCGCGACACGGGCATCTCCAGTTGCTGCTGCTTTGGTTGGCTAGAGAGTTCCATTTACGTTGACACATGCAAGAACACACACAGGGAGGACGACAGGCAGCAAGGAATGTCACATGACATTAAAAACATGTCGATCGCCACAGTCTCAGTGTTGTGTGTGTGTGTGTGTGTGTGTTAATGTCTTCCTGCTATTGTGGCTTGCTAAAGGCGCGTTCCGGTGTGTGTGTGCGCGCGCGTTGCAGAATAATATCAAGATTGCAGCGGCGTTTCCTGTTTGCGGCCTCGCGTGTCTCGTTGCTTCTCCGAAAGCTTTTTCTCGCCGCTCCAGCGCGATGATGTCGCTCATTGTACGAGATGAACCTTGAAAATGGCTCAGGCAGGAGAGCTCCACACTTGTTCTCTTTTCAAATCCGAGGCGGACCGACCCGTGGAGCGGGCCTTTTGATGCCTTTGGGTTTTATTTTGCGAAATAAACGCGCCGACGTGAAAAGCGGAAGGTGGCCTCGCTAAGTTCCGTTGTTGGCGGCTCTCCTTGAACGTTTGGCCCGTCGCCGCAGCTCAGGTGTCGCACGCGGCGTCCGTCGGCCGGCTCGGATGTCGGCCGGCTCTCCGGTGTCGCTCGGCGAGTGACACGCGCGGCCGCGGGCTCGACTCGACCCGAGCTGACGCATCGGCGCGATGCCGGCGCGTCGGAGGAGAGGCGGGCTGAAGGCGGCCTTCGGACGGCTGCTCGGGCGCACGTGAGTGAGCGGACCTTCGTGTAGCCCATTCTCAATGTTTTTGTTGTTGTTGTTTGGCGGGGTGGCGGAACGCCGGTGATGCTCATAACGTCGTCGGCTTTGAGTAGATTAGAACTCACTCAGACTTGATGCTGCCCTGCATGACCTCTGCCGTGTGTGTGTGCGCGTTTGCGCGTGTGCATGTGTTTGTGGCGAGCAGGTGAAGTGCCGTCAATTGTTGGTCACGTCCGTTTAAGTCCCGACTTTCACTCTTCCCCCTTTGGATGTCGACACGCTTGTGCTACACGTGCGCATGAGCAGCAGGTGACATTAAAACAGCAAGTCAGTCGATGAACGGATAAGTGGGGGAGGGCGGGCGGGGATTAGGGGTCCTTGTGTCCAGTCAGCATACTCCTCGCATGTCTGCCATTGTGTCACCCACGCAATACTATTTTTATCCCAAGGGGCTCGTGTGTGTGTGTGTGTGTGTGTGTGTGTGTGTGTGTGTGTGTGTGTGTGCGCGCGCAATCAGGTTACAGGGTGTGTAAAGAGACTCCTCTTTGTCCTCCAGCTTGACAGTTTGAGACGTAGACTGAAACTTAACCAGGTTGGCAAAATAAGTCCCTTTGGTATCATTCATTCCCCCCCAAAAAGTCAATTGATTATTTTCTTGCTTGATTCTGTGTTTTTTTTTTTTTTAATCTGACCCCCCCCCCCCAAATATCTATCTATCTTTCAATTCAATTCAGCCCTGAGCAAAGTTGCATTTGGAAAAAGCTCCAAGACAAATCCCTCCCATCATTTTGGGAGTTTCGCGCCGGCACTAAATGTGCTGCAGCGGCGCACCGGCGGAACGTCGGAAAAGCCGAAAGCGCCGGCGGGCCCCGCCGCAAGCTGTTCCCGCGCCGTCCTCTTCCCGCAAGCCGGATGCCGGCTCAGAGCGTGCCGCCGCGCCATGAATAATGAATTGCGCAATGGAGCTCTCGCTGTGATTTGCGCTTGTTTGACAGCCGCCGTGCGGGTGGCTGTGCCGTTCCGCCTCCCGATCGACCGCTCGGGGGCTCGGCCGTTTGCTAGCCGGGCCCGCTCGTCATAAAACGACGGCAATTTGGCGGAACCGTTGCGATGGAGGTTTGAAATGTTGATTTTTGTGCCCCCCCTCTCCCAGGAAAGCCATCTCCCGCTCGGGCCTGCAGCACCTGGGCCCGCCGCAGGGCGCCCTGCCCGCCGCCTCCAACGGGCCCGGCAAGGAGCCTCGCACCTGCATGGACTGGACGGTCAGTCAAGGAACTCTTGTGTGTCCGATGTGCGCCTTTACGGGGCGTCGCCCACTGAGTGACGGGCTGAGCGGCTGGCTCCCACTTGTGCCTGGCGAACCCGCGCAACCGCTGCCTGGCGCTACGTTTTTAACAGCACTCAAACATCAGTCCTCGAACGCCGCCGAAGCAATCTGATGTTCATTTTTTTTCGCTTCTGCTTGCGAATTTTGGGCGGCTGCATCACGAGCCTTTTCAAAAGCTCGTCGGGTTTATATTTTTGGGGAGGGGGGGGGTTATGTGTCGAACAATCACATGAAGTGACGGCGGCGGCAATGGCGGCTAAACTGCTGCTGACTTCTTTTCAGTGGCTTGAACGTCAGAAAGGCGCGCGCGTCTATTTTTAGTCGACTGCGGCATCCACTCGGAGCACAAATGGATCTTCAAAGGCGGAAGCGTTTACATTCGCCAAGGCAGAAGCCCCAAAAAAAGACCACAGAGGCACCCTTTTCCCATCAAACGCGACACTCTTTCGGTTTCCGTTATTTGTAACTGAGACCGACCACTTCTGGGCACCCCGTGTTGAGTTACCAAAAGGGCGCGGCTCCCCGAACCCACGATTGATTATTGATTAGACACTGTAAATGAAGCTGGGGGGGGAACGACAGTAAGCCACATTAATATTAGATATTCCACAGAGAGGATAAAGAACGTCTGACTTTTTGTATATTTCCCTGTTGTCAAATTTGCACTCACAATTCAAATCAAAAAGAATCGTCTCGCCAACGCTTGTATCTCGAGGCACCGCCCCCCCGTGTGCGGCATGATTTGTATTGGAGGGTGCAAATCGACATTCCCCCGCGGCTCTGACTGCGGGGACGCTTCCTTCCTCCACGTCACCGCTGGCCTTTAACGCTCTGCACGACGCACACACGCGGCGGTGGTCTGCAATCAATGATCTGAATAATGGCTCATTACTAAAACATCAGGGCTTGATCTCGGTGGGTGGCGGGTGTCCGTCCAAACAAGCGGCGCGCCACTCGGCGGCGGCAATTATGCGCTTGACACGGAGCGACGCTGGCAGTTTGTGAAGTGAGTAATGTGATCTCAGCGAGCCTCGTTTGAGTTTGAAAACGGACAGATGGGACAGCTCGCTTAGAGGGGCGGGAGGGGAGGGGAGGGGGGAGTGAGTCCCACAGCTTAAAGCAGGACGCCATGTTGCGAAGACGATACCCGCAAACGGGCCGCTGACCCCGCCTCCCCACGTCACCCGGCAGGAGAACGCAGTGAACGGCGACCACCTGTGGATGGAGACCAGCTGCTCGGGCGAGCTGTGCTACCTGGGAGAGGACGCCTGCCTCGTCAAGGCCGCGGTGAGCTCCGCCCATCTCTCTCGGCATCACGCGCGCCGAAAAAAAAGAAGTCGGTCGCGCTCAGCTCTCGATGAGATGAATGTTCCATCGGGGGGTAGAAAAGGACGCGGCGGCCCCGCGTCGACCGGCCGCCTCCCGAATAAAAACGCCTGAAGATGTGAAAAGCCACAGGAAGTCGGCCATTTTGCTTTGAGGCGGCCATTTTGCTCTTTAAATTTGGCCTCAGTGGGCTGCCTCGTCGCGAGATGCGCGAGGTCCAATTCAAAAAGCCACCAAATAAGGCACTCTCCATTCAGCCAGGAAAGACTTGGATGACCTCAGCTGCGCGCACTCGTCTTTTTCGAGTGCCCGTCTTGACTCCAACCTGCGTGCGTGCGTGCGTGCGTGTTTCTCCTTGCAGAAGTCTGCGCCCAGGAGGAAGTGCGCCGCCTGCAAGATCGTCGTCCACGCCGGCTGCATGGAGCCGCTCGAGAAGGTAACGGGCGCGCACGCGCCATGCAAAAAAAAAAAAAAAAAAAACTCCTCACGCCACACGGCCGCCGTCTCTCTCTCCCCCCATCTCGTGCTCAAGATCAACTTCAGGTGCAAGCCGACGTTCAGGGAGGCGGCATCGCGCTGCCTGAGAGACGTGAGTCCCTCGAACCGGAGGCGCGCGCGCGTGCGCGGGGGGCCCGAGGGGCCGGCGTAACCCGGAGCGTCTTGTCTCCCGCAGCAGAACCTGCTGAGGCATCATTGGGTGCACCGGCGGAGGCAGGAGGGGAAGTGCAAACAGTGCGGCAAGGTGGCTGGCAAAATGGCGACGCCTTCTCGTCCCGGCGGCGTGAGCGCCATCTATTTTCTGGCCCTGTGTGTTTTTCCGCAGAGCTTTCAGCAGAAGTTTTTCCACAGCAAAGAAATCATCGCCATCAGCTGTTCCTGGTGCAAACAGGCGGTGAGTGGGCGCGGCAAATTTCAATCGGCTGCGCCGGCGTGACCTTATTGATGAGAAACTGTCACAAGCCCAAAAAAACGTCAGGATGGGGAGATGAACATTTTCTGTGCGGACTAACCGATTTGTGCGCGGCGGCGCGCGCAGTTCCACAACAAGGTGACGTGCTTCATGCTGCGGCAGATCGAGGAGCCGTGCTCGCTGGGGGCGCACGCCGGCGTCATCGTGCCTCCGTCGTGGATCATCAAAGTCAGGAAACCGCAGGCAGGCGCGCGCACGCATTCCCGTCGCCGCGCAGCGGTTAGCGCGGCGACGCCGACGCTAACCGCTGCGCTCCTCGTTCCCGCGCAGAACTCGCTCAAGAACTCGGCCAGGAGGAAAAAGCGCACGTCTTTCAAGCGCCGGACGAGCAAGAAGGGCGCCGACGTAAGTGGTGAAGGGACTTTGTCGTGTGTCCCGGCAAACTGAAGCGCCGTCTCCTTTGCTTCTTCGTCTTTCCTCAGGAGTCCAAATGGCGACCGTTCATGCTGAAGCCGCTGCCCTCGCCGCTCATGAAGCCCATCCTGGTCTTCGTCAACCCCAAGAGCGGCGGCAACCAGGTCGGCCTCCCGAAAAGCCGCAATTCTTGATTGCATTCAGCTCGGGCAAACGGGACGAAACTCTTGCCAAATTTCAAATTTCGGTCCATTTGCGTGAGCGTGGCATCAACGCCCCCCCCACCTCAAAGAAAAGGGGTGGGGCAAGGTGGCCAGCGTCCAGCCGCGGGGCCCCGAGTTCACCCCTGGCCATCTGCTTCCTGTCCGCAGGGCGCCAAACTGCTCCAGATGTTCATGTGGATCTTGAACCCGCGGCAAGTCTTCGACCTGTCGCAGGGTGGCCTTCGAGAGGCGTGAGTGTCCCTCCGCGTGACTTCCTAAACCCCGCCCCCCCCACCCGACCCCCCCCCGTGAACACGGTCTCGCGTATCTTCCCTCCTTTCCCGCTCTCAGGTTGGATCTGTATCGGAAAGTGCCAAACTTGAGGATCCTGGCGTGCGGCGGAGACGGCACGGTAAAGTTTGAGGGACTTCCTTTTGGGATCGCTTGTTGTCGGGCAGAATAAGTGGAGCGTTTACATGACATTTTATGCTTGCAATTTACTTTTTTAGATCCTTGCAGCTCACAGTGTGTGTGTGTGTGTGTGTGTGTGTGTGTGTGTGTGTGTGTGTGTGTGTGTGTGTGGGTGTGTGTGTGTGTACTGTCTCTGTGTGCGTGTGCGAAGGTGGGCTGGATCCTGTCCACGCTGGACGAGCTGCAGATGAACCCGCAGCCTCCGGTGGCCGTCCTTCCTCTGGGAACAGGAAATGACCTCGCCAGGACGCTCAACTGGGGCGGGGTGAGTTCCGAAGCTCGACTGCCGACTTGCGCCCTCAAAACACAAACGAAATGCGCTTTGTTTCGTGTGCTTGATTAAAAAAAAAAAAAAATCATCATTAAGAAATAAATAAACAAAATGGATCTACTTCTTCCTGTGCATCGCGTCCACCACGCTTGACCTCGGTGTCGTGTGGAGATTTTTTTTCTCTGCGTCAGAAGTCAGAACTGCGCACCACTTGACATTCGCAGGGCTACACGGATGAACCCGTGTCCAAGGTCCTGGGCCACGTGGAGGACGGCTCGGTGGTGCAGCTGGACAGGTGGAACCTGCAGGTGGAGACCAGCGGCGGCGAGCGGCCGCCCGAGGACGCCGCCCAGAAGGTAAACCGGGGCCTTTCACCCGCAAGTGAAAATGAGATTTTGCCCGAGCGGGCCGGCCCGCGCTCCTCTGGCGCGTTGGTGACGTGTGCCTGCGGCGTCCTCAGCTGCCGCTGAACGTCTTCAACAACTACTTCAGCCTGGGCTTCGACGCTCACGTCACGCTAGAGTTCCACGAGTCCAGAGGTGAGTCCGGCGCGATCCGTTTTGCCCTCGCCCACTTTCCTCCTCCTCGGTGATCCCACCTCCACTATTTTGTCTCTTTCTCTCACGCAGAGGCCAACCCCGAAAAGTTCAACAGTCGCTTCCGCAACAAGATGTTCTATGCGGGAGTGAGTCGCGCTTTTGGCACACACGCCCAAATGTGTCGACATTTCGTCCATGTCCCGACTCGTGCGCCGCTTTTGCTCTTTGGCCTCCTCACCGGTCAGACAATTCAGCGCGAGAGTAGAACAGCCGCCCGTTAAGTCGTGAGGCAACTGGGCGCTGCAACTACTCCTCGTGGAGGGATTCAATTCTACTTCTCTCTTCCGTGTGTGCGTGTGTGCGTGTTGTGTGTGCGTGTGTGTGTGTGTGTGTGTGTGTGTGTGTGTGTGTGTGTGTGTGTGCCAGGCCGCCTTCTCCGATTTCCTCCAGAGAAGCTCGAGGGACTTGTCCAAGCATGTCCGAGTGGTGGTGAGTGTGAACACGCTGTCGCCGGATGGCTTTTTGGGGTTCTGGTTGTAATTGCCCGTTGCTGCCACAAGAGGGCAGAGCCAACGCATACGTGAATTAAACTGGATAAAAAGCAGGTGTTTTTTTTTTTTTTTTTTTTTTTTTTTTAAAGTTTTCATTCAGTGTTCTTATTTAGAATTTTTTTCATGGCTGCAACAGATTTGTGGCACTTCAATTCATTTTCGTGGGGAAAATCCATTTCGTTGAGAAGTAAATTGCTTGCTGATGGAACGAATTCAAGCAGTCAGCAAAGGCAACGCGGTCCACGTTTGTGTTTTTTTTTTTTTTTTGCAGTGCGACGGCACCGACTTGACTCCGAAGATCCAGGATTTGAAATTCCAGTGCATCGTGTTCCTCAACATTCCCAGGTGGGTTCGGTTGGCCTGCCGGCGGCCATCCGGCCCGAGTGCTAATTGCGTTGGGCTCGTGGCTGCGCCGCAGGTACTGCGCGGGGACCGTGCCGTGGGGGAACACCGGCGACCACCGCGACTTTGAGCCGCAGCGCCACGACGACGGCTGCATCGAGGTCATCGGCTTCACCATGGCCTCGCTGGTATTTGCTTACTTTCCAGTTGGTCTTGGAGCTTTTTTTTTTCTTTTTTTAGTTTGACCGCTGTTCCCCCCCTTTCCCTCTTGCCCTCCAGGCGGCGCTGCAGGTGGGCGGGCATGGCGAGAGGCTGCACCAGTGCCGAGAGGTGGTCCTCACCACGTTCAAGACGGTGCCGGTTCAGGTTGGTGGCGCCTCAGCGACTTTTTGGATTTTTGCAGCGGCGTTACTCGGAGTACGTTTCCCTGCTCGGATGACGTTCGTCCCTCCTCCTGCCAAGGTGGACGGCGAGCCGTGCCGACTGGCGCCGTCCACGCTGCGCATCTCGCTGCGCAACCAGGCCAACATGGTCCAGAAGAGCAAGCGGCGAACTTCGGTGCCCCTGCTCAACGAGTGAGTCACACGTGCACAAACTGAGGCGGTGGCGTGCGTGGCGACTAACACTAACCCCCCCCCCTGCCCCCCACCCTGCACTGCACCCACATTCTTCATGTCATTGTGAGCGTGTGTGTGTGCACTGCAAATACTCAAATCGAACAAGATGAAATATCTGCAAAGTGACAGCAATGACAAACAGACACCAGTAGATGGCGATGATGCATTTTTATCCAAATAATGTCTCTTCCTCATTGGATGACTTTTTCCCTCTTCTCTCAGGGCAGTTTTTGCAGTGTTTGATTTGTGCGTGCGTGTCAGCGTGACTAACGGCAACTATCTCTAACTGTGCTGCAGCAACTTTTGTCGGCGTGCCTCGATTGACCTCCTCTCTCCGTCCTCTTTGTCCTCCTCTCTCTCTTTCTCTCTCTGTGTTCTTTCCCTCCTCCGCAACGTGTATCATCATTTCAATCCTTCTTTTCTTCTCCTCCCTCGCCGCGCCTCCCCCGTTTTTTTTCTCTCTCTTTCTCTTTCTCTCCTGTGTGCGTGTGTGTATGTGCGCACGCACGTTTGGCGCTAGTATTCAGAAGGTGTGTGCAGCTGATCTGCGCCGCCTCTCTGCTCCCCCCGACTCCTTCTCTGTGTAAGTACCTCACCCGCTGTCTGCGTACTGCCACTGTGCGTGTGTGTGTGTGTGTGTGTGTGTGTGCACGCGCATGGACAAATCAACGGGAGTGATTTGGTGATTGATTGGTCGGTGTCGGCCATCCTGTGGTAGCGTTCAGCCGCGGGAGGGAGCGTATCAGGAGTGTTTGCTGCATTTGTGTCTCCGTTTCCCCTCAAAAGCGTCTCCATTCCCTTTTCGGCGAGCAGCAAGTTGTCATCTTTCCTTTCTTGCCTTTGTGCTCCCGCTGCTTTTCTGTGGCTCAACAGCAATTTGCTTCTAATGTGTTCCCCCCCCCCCACCCCCGTGGATTAACAAGCAGCACCCCTGCAACAACCTTTTCGCTTGCATACGTGACATCGTGGGTGTTGATCGTGGCCCCGCGCGGAGATTGACCCTGCGCGTGCGCTTCTCGCAGCCCTCACGCCGTCCCCGAGCGACTTCGGCTGCGGGTCAACCGGATCTGCCTGCATGAGTACGACCGGCTGCAGTACGACAAAGAACGGCTCCGGGACATCTGTAAGTGTCAACGAGTCTCTCAGCCGTATCGGAGTTGCGAGGTTTTTGTTGTTGGGTTTATTTTGTATCCGAGAAAGAATCCGTCTTTGAGGAAACGTGGGTTTCAATTCACGTCTTTGGGTTGCAGCGGTCCCGGTGGGCATCGTGGTGGTGAGGGGCGACTGCGACTTGGAGACGTGCAGACTCTACATTGACAGACTGCAAGAGGTGAGATCCTCGCCCTAGTCTTCACCTTGTGGTCCTGACCTGGCGGCGCTTGCATTCGTCACCTTCCCAAATTTGCTCTGCGCTCGCCAGGACTTGCACCAGGCGCCCCCTCTTGGCCACAGAGTGCATTACCAGGTACACTTGACTCCCTCTCGTCACTTTGTTGATTTTTGCTGTCGGGTCGTCAGGTTGTCCGAAAAGGCAGACTCAAGTGCGGATCGCTGAAAAAAATCCATCATCGGGCAGGAAGAAAGCATTTGTGCTCGGTTATTTTGCACTCCAAAGTCTCCTCAAGTACAGTGAGCAAGTCTTTGTACCTCCGTTTCTTCCCAGCAGTTTTTCGTTGTCTGCAGGATGAAAGCCGGGGGATGCTCAGGACCACCTCGGCCAGCAGACTCTCTTCCAGCTGGAGCTTCTTGGATTGTGAGTACAAAGTGCAAAGAAAAACACGCTCTTGAGCGTTCGCAGGATTGATTTTGTGTGTGTGTGTGTGTATTTTTCTCCCGCAGCCACATCAGCCGATCGCTTCTATCGCATCGACAAAGCTCAGGTACAAAGATCAACCAGCGATGGAAGTCAAACTTTTGCTTCGGCCTCATGTCCTGGTGAAGAATGTTTGAATTGCCCTTTCATCTGTAGGAGCACCTTCACTTTGTCACGGAAATTTGCCAGGAGGAGGTGTTCATCCTGGACCACGAGGGCCCCGCGGGGGCCCAGGCGTCGTCGGCCGGGATGCCCGACCTGGTCGTGGAGCCCAACGTTGGGTGCGAATGACCTTCCTTGCACGACTCACTGATTGACCGGCAGCCGTAATCTGAAATCTCCTGTGTGTTGCACGTATGTTTCTAGTGCGCCTTTGACTCCCGAGGAACAAGGTACACACAGACACGCACGCAAAAGGGATGCGACGATACCGTTGGCATCTCGGACGCCGTCCACCTCAGCGTCGGCTCTTCAGCATTCGGGCGCCGTTCCTCTACAAATTTGACTTTGTGTTTGTTTGTTTGTTTGTTTGATCCACAGCGCTGTTGACGGCCGCCAGCTCGGGCGATCTCTCCATGGTACAAAACGCGTCCTCAAACGTTCTCTTGGTGGTGGGGGGAGTGGGGGGGGGGTTCCTTCTTGTTGTTATTTGGCATGCGGCATTGAGTTGCCGCTTGTGTGCTCCACGCGCAGTTGTCGGAGTGCGTTCATCACGGCGTCAGCCTGCTGGTGCGAGACGCCGCCGGTTGCTCGGCGCTGCATAAAGCCTCGCAGAAAGGCCACGCCAAGTTGGTCGTCTTCATCCTCCAGCGGGGTACGTGCGACATGAACTTCATATTTCACGCACGCCCAATTGAAACATTCTCCGAGGTTGTTTTGTTATGGCGCCTCTTCTGACAATCACTTCATTCGGGCTTCTGGGTAGCGAAAATGGACTTAGTGTTGAGGAGTTGCAGCGCCCCCTGCTGCTGTGGCATGCCGTGTAAAAAAAAAAATCTTTTTTTTCTTCTTCTCAGGATCCAAAGTGCTTCTTGACCTGCCAGACAGAGAAAAGTACGTTGAGTTGAAGCATTGTCGCCACTTCATGCTCCTTGAATGCACAGTTTGACCTCATGTTTGTGCAGAGGGGACACTGCCTTGCACAAAGCCGCCTTGGAGAAGCAGCACGCTGTGTGTCGACTGCTGGTGGAGGCCGGTGCGTCGCTTCAGAAAACCAACTTTCAGGTACACGCACATCCGCAGTGGACGTGAGTTTTTTGCCGTTTCAGCTCTCCGATTGGGGGACGGGGGAGGGGGGGGGCTAAAACCGCTCCTAGTGAGGCACTCGTATGTGTGCCGTCCACAGGGGAAGACGCCAGTGGAGCAAGCGGCGGGCGACTTGGAGCTGACCTCCTACCTGAGCAGCCAAAAAACACCTTCGGCCCCCCACGAGGACTTGGAGACGGCGGTGTGACGCACGGGCACATTTTTTCACACGTGGGCGGTGGCGAAGGGCTGCGTCCGAAAGCGAACACTCGCAGCTCAGACGCCAGCAGTGTAGACGGTGGCGTACGGCCCGCCTATTTATTTTGTATTTATTTATTGAGATTTGTATTTATTCTGGCCGGACGGTTGGTTGCGATGGTTGCGGTGGACCTGCATCTCATCATGAGTTCCGAGCGGAACTGAGTGCAAAAAGTCTGTCTCAAGAGTCGGCGCATTGAAGTGTTTCCACCCATCCGAGCCTTTGTGCCAAAGACCGGGAGAGACATTTGATTTGGATTTCTTTGACCGATATGCACATGACGATGGCTGCTGTGTGACTGTGTTTGTGGGCGAGGCCTGTTCGAACCTACACCTTCGTCAATCGAATAGAAACTTTATATTCCATTTATTCTCACTACCGTTGGTTGTGCATGGCCTTTTCTGACCTCACCATTGATTACTTTCCAGTATTGGCAGACACATGCATTATTATGATTATTATTATTATTATGATGGTTATTGTTTCAACTCTTAAATTATTCTTCGGAGTGTTTAATGCCTGGTTTTCGTCCGGGGTTGTTTTTGTATCGCTGCTGAAGATGACTTGCAGTGTTTTGTTTGGGTTTTATTTGGAAAGAGAAGCTTTCTGTCTCTTCTGCTTCTTTGGTTGGATTGCATGTTTCCACTCTTTCCACGGTCACAATCATCCACACTTATTTCTGCTTTCTGGTCCCGGGATTCAAAATGTTCACAGACTATGAACACTTTACATTTTAAATAAAAAGATACGCTGATCTTTGCTGAAGTTGCATCTTGTGTCAGTCATTCGCGATGACCCCGTGTGCCAAAATGCGGTAGTTGGGGTGTGTTGGGGGGAGGGGTAGATTCTCCACTGTCTCGAAGCGAGTACTGTATATTTTGTATTTTCAGTCGACAAACTCTGTCAAAGTTGTCATTTGGGAAGTGAAAGAAAGAACGATGATTACTTCCCTGTTGTACACACCTTTCTGAATCACCACAGGGAATTTCCAGGAAATTTATTGGAGGATAAAAGTTGCATTTGATTCATTTACAATTACCTTCAAGTTAGTGATGTGTCGGTCGCGAACGAGCTGGTACAAAGAGCCGGCTCTTTGTGATTTGATATAGAACACGACATCTTGATTTTTCCGGCGCTTACACGACAGCTGTCATAAAGCGCTTGACAGAATTTTGGCAAATTATCCTGTGCCGGTCGGTCGGGATATCGCCCCCCCCCCCCTTGCCGACACACAAGCCTCCCATTGACGCATTGTCGTAGTTGGGTAAACTTTGTTTTGGAAGTGGTGGTGGTCGTGGTGGGGGCGGGGGGGCTTCATGTTGATCGATGTACGGTGAATACTTTGAGGGGGAAAAGTTTTCGGGGTCCTCAGAAAGTCACCCAATGTTTGCTCCCCAATCTGAAACGAAGTTTGATTTCACCGCGATCCTTTGGGTTTTGCAGGTTCTTCAGCCCCCGGCCCCGTTGGGAGCAGCAGAGAGCACTCCGCAAGCATCCAGACGAGACTTGCGTCTCAACTATTCCAGCGGAGCTGCCCTGATCAACAAAGCATCTTGAAACAATGAATAAAGTTGGCTTGCAAGTTTGGAAGTGTGCTTATGGGTGTTTTATTTGCATTTCATTCACGATCGCCAAGAAAGCAAAATGACAAAACGACACAATCTCTTTGTGTAACTCGTCTTCAATCGAAAACGAAGTTGGTTTTGCAAACTCTCTCTCCTGATCTCTGGATGGGATTCTGAAGGCAGACAGCGGGAGGAAATCTTGGCGTGGTCGATGGGTTATGGGTGAGGTTGGAGTGCGTCACGTCGCCCAAATGCGAAGCTCGTCCCAGAAGTGACCATTCCACGAGAGACGCCAACCGTCTCACCAATTATGTTCTTTTTTTTTGCCTTCAAAAACCTACTCGTGTGGTCGGCCGCCTTTCACTACATAAAAAAAATTCGAAGCTTTCGTGCCGGGATGTCTTGGTGGGAAAGACATCGCTGGGTATGCAGGCGGAACGAGTTCGAATCTCCATCTGCTCTGCATTTATATATTTTGCAAGAGTCGAACCCGGGTTTCCCGTTACCTCGTCCAGGGGCGAAGTCAGAAGTCTGAACCAGAAGCGAACACTCCACGAGATATGCCAAGCGTCTCACCAAACATATTCCTTGCTCATCATGAAGATGACGCCCTATGACTACATATAAAAATTTCGAAATTTTCGTGCCCAGATGGCCGAATGGTAAAAGACATCGCGTGGTGATCAGGCGAACCGAGTTCGAGACCCACCGTGTGCTCCATTTATAAATTAAGCAAGAATCGAACCCGGTTTTGCCGGGTACCAAGTATTATCGTTATCCATTCGACCACGCTAGGTCACAGAACCAACCGTTCGGATGTTTATATTTATATTCTTCTACGGGACTAATGATGGATATATGTAATAGTGGACGTAGTTTTCCGTGGAAAGACAGTCCAGTGGTATCTGAGAAGGATTCTCCACTGGTGAACTCTGGTTCGAGTCCCGCTGCCGTCATTTGGCAAAGCCTTAGTCATTTCGGCCGGATTTTTTCAACACATCTTCACATTCACTTCCGGTTTCAAATTAAAAGTTTTTTTTTCTTTCCGGAAGTGACGTCATTGGCGGAAACCTATTTCAGGTGGGCTCTCGAGGCACTCGTTCTTTCTCACCTTCGACAGCCTCCAGTCGTCCTCCCGCTGCTCCTGCTCTGCACGCCTGTCCAGAAGCCCACGGAAAACTCCAACAAGGTGACTTTTTTTACTCTTTAATAGCCTCTTTAAACACACCGCTTTGGCTCCCTTTGAATGGAAAGCGGCACTTTCGACGTGCTCGCACCTGGCTAACACGCTCAGCAAAAATGTTTGCTCGAGCGTGAGCAATCAACGTCTCCTGCGACCTTGCTTTGCAACAAAACCTTTTTTTTTTTCCAACCTTCTAGGACAAAAGCTTCGTTCGCCGAGAGGGTAAGTAGACAAAACTAATTTCTAAATTCAGTTAAAACAAACTAATGTGCATGCATGCGTGTTAATTGTGTCCTTTCTGTTCACAGGTACAAATCTTAAGATGGACGAAACACAGGCCACTCGCTGTGCGTTTTAATGTGGAATTTAAGCCCTGAACCGTTTGGAGCAAGCCCGTCTAATTTGTCTCTTTTTCTATCCGCAGGCTTTGCATCTGCTCCAAAATGGCCAAATTGACTGAAACGCGGTACAACGACAACATTTTAAGATGCCGCCGTACG